GAGCGACAGCTACCATACCATGTGTGCGATGCATACGAGACAGATATCTGGCCATCAGAACCGGAAGAAGGTGTCGGTGTCTTACGTGATTCGCGATGAGGTGGAGAAGTATCACCGGTCGGGCGTCAACTCACTTCAGTTGGACCCGCACTCCGGGCGACTGTATAGCGCCGGTCGGGACTCAATCATCCGGATCTGGAATACGAGACAACAGACCAGTTCTCCGTACGTGTTATCTATGGAACACCACACCGATTGGTGCAACGATATCATCCTGTGCTGCGGCGGTAAGAACTTGATCTCCGCCTCGAGTGACACCACCGTAAAGGTGTGGAACGCCTACAAAGGCTTCTGTATGTCCACATTGAGGACACACAAAGACTATGTCAAGTGTCTGGCGTACGCCCGCGACAAGGAACAGGTGGCCAGCGCTGGCCTCGACCGAGCGATCTTCCTGTGGGACGTGAATACGTTGACAGCGCTCACGGCGTCCAACAATACGGTGACCACATCGTCGCTGACCGGCAATAAGGACAGTATCTACTCGTTGGCGATGAACACCGCCGGCACTGTCATAGTGTCCGGCAGTACCGAAAAGGTGCTCCGCGTATGGGATCCCCGCAGTTGCCAGAAGTTGATGAAACTGAAGGGACACACGGATAACGTGCGGGCGATTGTGGTGAGCCGTGACGGCACTCAGTGTTTGTCGGCCAGCAGTGACGGCACTATAAGGCTGTGGTCGCTCGGCCAACAGCGCTGTGTGGCCACAATGCGAGTGCACGACGAGGGCGTTTGGGCCCTACAGACCAACGACGCGTTCACTACCGTGTATTCGGGCGGACGCGACCGCCGAGTGCTGATGACTGATCTCCGCAATCCCGACAATAGGGCCGTCATATGCGTGGAGTCGGCGCCCATACTTAAGATGATATTAACGCCGCCCGACTATAACAGCATTTGGGTGGCGACCACCGACTCGTCCATCAAGAACTGGTCGTTAAATCACAGCAAACATAAGGGAAGTTTCAGCAATTGGGAGGATTACGACACCGACGGACCGCCCATTAACGAGACGGAAGAGTACCGAATCCGTGGCAATCCCTCCATCAGGAGCTTTACTGTACTGAATGACAAGCGATTCATTCTGACCAAAGACACGGAAAATAAGGTCGCGGTCTATGATGTGCTGAAAGCGGCTGTTGTGGAAGACCTCGGCTGTGATGTGGACTTCGAGGCCGAAGTGAAGAAACGATTCAAAATGGTTTACGTTCCCAATTGGTTCGCCGTCGACCTCAAGACCGGAATGTTGGCCATACATCTGGAAGAGCCCGACTGTTTCGCCGCGTGGGTGTCCGCCAAAGAGTTCGGCTTTTACAGCGAGAACGACAATCCGGACCCGAAGATCAATTTGGGCGGACTTCTGCTGCAGGCGCTGCTCGAGCACTGGCCACAGATCTACACCAACGACGAAGATCTCGAACAGCAAAACGGAGGCCACAGCCAAATGAACGGACAGGCGGTCAACTCGTTTGACGGGTCGGCTAAACAGCCCAAACCGGTGCCGGCGGTAGAGACGGGTGCGGCGAACAGCGTCGGCCTGCGACCGGTGAACCAATACTTTTCTGTGCCACTGCACACACCCGTGATATTCAGCGAAGGGGGCAATCGGACACTGTTGAGGCTACTGGTGTGCGACGCCCGCCGGGACACGGAGGACGTGCTGCTGCAGGAGACGGTGCCGCCGTGGGTGGTGGACGTGGTGGTCAACAAGAATATGCCCAAGTTCAATAAGATCCCGTTCTACCTGTTGCCGCACCTCTCGTCGGGCATCAAACCGGTGCGCAAAGAGCGCCTGTCGGCCAGTGATATGCTTCAGGTGCGCAAAGTTATTGAACACGTCTACGAGAAGATGTTGGGCACTAATAGCGAGTCCGGCGGCGGCGGCACTCGTCGGGTATTAAACCGGTGCGCAAAGAGCGCCTGTCGGCCAGTGATATGCTTCAGGTGCGCAAAGTTATTGAACACGTCTACGAGAAGATGTTGGGCACTAATAGCGAGTCCGGCGGCGGCGGCGGCTCAGCCAACGTGGCGGCGCCCTCGACGGGTGCGAGCAGTGCCGCCACTAACGGCCACAGTAGTAGTAGCGCCGCCGTTGGCCCGACGGCTACCGGTTCTACCGGCAAAGGCAGTGATAATTATAACAATTCGGGCGCCGATCGCGACGAAGAACGGCTGTCCATAGCGGAGGAGAAGGTGGAGCTGTCGTGTCAAGACATGCCTCTCGACCCGAACCTCGACCTGAGGACAGTTCGGCACTTTATATGGAAAAGTGGCGGCGATTTAGTGCTACACTATAAGCCGCTTAAGTGAACAAAACATTGACTTTAAAACATGTGTTTAAATTAAATTATGATTACATTTATTAGAGATATTAATTATTTAAGTGATATATAAATATTATAAGTAATTATAAAAAATTATAATTATATAAAATAACTAATTTATGCCATTATTTTGTAAATTATAATAATTATGTTTTAAATTGCAATTGAAAATTGAGAGACACTTTAGGGCTATATTTGTCTATTGGATTGGCGGAGAAATTACATGTCGAGCGGTGTTGTTGTCTCTCCTATCGGGCAAAACAATGTATANAAAAAATTATAATTATATAAAATAACTAATTTATGCCATTATTTTGTAAATTATAATAATTATGTTTTAAATTGCAATTGAAAATTGAGAGACACTTTAGGGCTATATTTGTCTATTGGATTGGCGGAGAAATTACATGTCGAGCGGTGTTGTTGTCTCTCCTATCGGGCAAAACAATGTATATTTTGCGCTCAAATTGATTATTATTTTTCTCGCAATTTAGTTAATTGTTACCATTATTTGGGTGACAAATATCACAAACACAATACCCACAGACATACACATAAAACACAGAAATGTTTTTATATATTTTATTATTACATATGAGATAACTATTGGTTATATAACTTATTAATTGATTAATTATATAATTATTGATTAATTCTGTTATGAAATACTAGTCTTTTAATTAATTTAGTAAATGAAGAGAAAATGCAAATACAAAACCAGAAATGACTGCAATTTAAATAAGATTTTAATTGTAATCTATAGACGAAATGAACGGCAAAGAAAAATAAAGAGAAATTACTATTTTGTTTCCTAAACTGATTTTAATTATATTTAAATTCACTTTTTAATCACAAAATCGGGAGTGAATTAAAAGCTTTGCAAACTTTGATTGAATAAATAGTGAGCAAAACATACGGCCAACAGATGTCTCCACACAAGTGAACGCATAATTAGGGCTCAAATGCAGTACTCATTGAAATGAGTGAATGAAAAGCTCACAAAACGCTACACAATAACAATGGACTCATAGAGACGTAACCACTATATCGTCGGATCAGATGAATGGGTGATGTCTTCGTTGCAGCCATTGGTTACAGACGTTGAATATTAGCCACCATTTATTGAACATATGCTTCACTCGAGTCTCAATCCATTAGTTATTGTCAATTGTTTTCAATAATCAATTGTTTTGTTTATTTATTGACAAAGTTTTGTTGTCTCTCAAAGACATCACTCAATCTGTCACTCAATTTGATTATTATCTCCGAAATAATAATTGCATTTTTATTATCAATATTTGTGTCCACAAGTTGTGTGTGTTTTGTGTCCGCGAAGTGTTTGTC